CTTGGTTGTTCTCTCGGATCTGCGCAAAACTCTCTGATCCTCTTGTTCTGGTGCTTCCTCCTCTTTGGGAGAGTGGGAGCTAAAGTATATGAAGCTGCTAAGTCTGAGTTAGCATCAGACTCTCCTGAGGTTTTTCGGCTCTGATAATCTGTGCCACCATTTGAATTTACATCAGCATCAGAATTATCAATCACATCAGAACTTGCCTCCCTCTTAACTGTCTTTGCCCCTTTTGCACCATCATCACAAATGGGATGGCATTGAAAAACACCAACTCTGTCCCATTGTGGATTGTCATCAATATTCCTGGTCAGCCTTATGGTTGTCGTGTCTGTGATCAGGACATGATAAGAACCTTTCTCGTACCCTAGGAAAACACCATGTTCTCCACGCTTACTCAGTTTGGCACCCTGCGAGGTGTGCACCCAAACCTCCGATCCAAAAATTTTAAAATGCTTTACACATGGCTTTCTTTTGTGAAGCATCTAGTATGGGGTGCAATTTACAGCAGACTGGTACCTTCTGTTATACACGTAACAGAAAAACGAAAGAGCTTCGGCCCAAAAGGGATTGGGCAGCCTCGAATCATGTAACAGTATTCTGATTCCTTGCTGCAGGGTCTGGTTTATTCTCTCACATAAACCATTCTGCCAGGGTGATCTGGGCGTGGCCGTCCTATGCTCAATGTCCTGTTCAGAAAGAAAAGCCTCAAACTCCTCTGAACAAAACTCACCTCCCCTGTCAGTGAAAAGACAACGTACGTTCTCATTATGTACATTTCTGAGCCATTTACAAAACTGGCAAAACTTGGTAAAGGCTTCAGACTTTTTCTGCAACATATAGACCCAAACATATCTTGAATAGGAGTCTATCAAAACCATGAAAAACCTTGAATTGCCTCTAGAGAGCGCTAGAGGCCCCACTAAGTCTGCATGAATGACTTCGTATGGTTTCTTGGCCTCTCTCCCAGACTCTGTACCTTTGGGAGCTTGCCTTGCCTTACTCTCAGCACATGAAACACATTTCATATGATAGGGACATTCTTTCAACTTCATACCCTGAACCATATCAGGCATTTTTGCCACAGCCTGGAAATTCAAATGACCATAAACATGGTGGTAATAATGAATACATTGGTCATGCAACTTCTCATTCTTATCAACAGATAAATTGCAACACTCTTTCTCAGTTGCTTCTGCAGTACCTGTACCTGAAACAAAAGGCAATTGGTACAGACCATTTACACATTTTGCATATAGAATGAGCTTGCCATCTTGACGAATTTCACAGCGAGATTTAGCAAACACCACCTTAAACCCTTGACGATCAAGCTGGGAAACACTCAACAAATTGTCCTGAATATCAGGCGCATACAGAACAGTCTTAATTGTTGCATTCAGGCTCTTTAAAAACACAGTTCCCTGAGCCAAACTCGTGAGGACAGTCCCATCTGCTTGATGAATTGCTTTTTCTTGTTTCTCAAGATGAACAAAGAGATCCTTATCTTTGGCCACGTGGTTTGAACAGCCAGAGTCGACCACAAAGAAACTCCACCCACGTTGATTGGAGCAGCGAGAGATCAGAGCCTTTGAAGTAGCAGGTGCTTGGGGATTTCGTCCTCCTCCCCCTCTGCCTCTGAAGTTTCCCTTCTTCTTTGAAGTTTTCTTGCTGCACTCAAAACTCAAAGGGCCTTGTGCTCCACACGAAAAGCACCGCCTCAACTTTAGTGCTTTAACAGCAGCAGTTTCACTTTCACTTTCCCCTGCTGGAGACTTAGGCACATTTTCAAGCACATTTTTGACAGCACCATTTTCCCGGCTTTCTCTAACAGCCTGTCTGCGATCCCACTCATTCAGGAGCACGCTAGACACATAATCTTCTGTTAGCCGGTCAGAAGGCATGGTAGAAATCTGGGCAGCTACTCCATCGTTAGACTCATCTAAGCTATTTATCATCAGCATTGCAAACACAGCCTCTGAAATAGCCAGGTCTCGCTGAACAAGGTCCTGTCTGAGACGCTTTAACTGAGATAGATGGCTAGGCAAATCACCACCTTTCTCCAACTGCAGCCTGCACAGCTTCTTGAAGAAAATCACACTGGAACCAGCATTCTGCCGCAAATGCATAACTTATGCCAAACAGCTCGTGCAGTCTCTTGACCCTCTAAGTTTACCAGCAAGTGGTCTGAAACACTCAAAACAATTGTCCCACGGGCTCTCATGTCTGCAGCATGCCACTCAGGCCATTCATCATCATCCTTATCGGGAGGGTCATCTTCTATAGTGTGAAATAGCTTTTCCCTCTGTAAAAGCGCTTTCATCTTGACCTGCCAAACTGCATAGGTCTCAAGCGTGAGGAGAGGAAAGGACAGAGCCATCTGGCCAGAATGTGCACAGGCCATGTCTGCTATTACTTAGAGCAAGACACTTCCCTCGTGCAACACAGAAAAAGCCTTGATTCCTTCAGCCACTCTCTCTCCCACTCAGAGCGCACAGCAGAGTATAGCAGAGTCTAGCAGAGTATAAAAACAACTCGGAGAGCAGCTCTGTAGAATATCTTCTTTATTCTATAACTACAACTATAATACAACTATATACAGAGCTAAATAGGTCTAAGCATAAATGAATGCTGCACTGCACTGAGTGTCTGCAGCTGCTCTTAGCAGCAACCTTATCTCTACACATGATCTCTAACACTCAGTCTCTCTCTCTCTCTCTCTCTCCCCCCCCCCCCGACACTGACTGACTGACTGACTTGGTGCTGGAGCAGAATGAGTAGAGAGCAGAACACGCCTCCTCCTCTCTGGAGAATCAGCAGACTCCTCAGGAGATTCTTGGATATGGGAGGGGTGAAATCTCCTCAGGCGCAATTGGGGAGGAGAGGCGGAAATGGCTTCTTGCTCTTCCAAGTGCCCCTGGAAGGTTTGGGTGTCAGATGGTGCAGGGTAAATAAATTAACAAATGGAGTACAGAGGAAACCCATTCTCCATTTATTTGTCCCACCACCACCACTTCTTCTCAGGTGATCAATCATAGCAGAGTAAGATTGTCTTCTATGAAAACGGTCTTAACAATGAGTGTAAGTGACTGTGGAGGGCAATTCTGGATCCACACATCCTTCCACAGTGGGGATAAAGGTTTTAAGGCGGGAGTGGATCACTCTGAGGGTTTGCCAAGCGTGCCTTCCTTTTAGCTCGTTTCTTCCTTTCGTCCTGAGTTCGAGCGTCTTCAAAGCCTATGACACCTTTGTTAATGGCTGTTCTCCAACTGGAGTGCTCGCAGGCCAGTGTTTCCCAGTTGTCGATGTTTATACTACATTTTTTAAAGATTTGCCTTGAGAATCTTTAAACCTCTTTTGTTGACCACCAGCATTACGCTTTTCATTTTTAAGTTAGGAATAGAGTAATTGCTTTGGAAGACGATAATCAGGCATCCGCACAACATCACCAGTCCAATGAAGTTGATGTTGAAGAATCATTGCTTCAACACTGGTGATCTTTGCTTCTTCCAGTACACTGGCATTAGTTTACCTGTCTTCCCAAGTGATGTGTAAAAATTTTCGGAGGCACCGTTGATGGAATCTTTTGAGGAGTTGGCGATGGCGTTTATAAGTGGTCCATGTTTCACAAACGTACAGTAAGGTTGGTAGTACAATAGCTTTGTAAACAAGCATTTTGGTTTCCCTGCGAATGTCACACCCCTGTGTAAAGGTTTAAAGCTGTAAAAGTAATTAGTAGCATAGCTGTTGCATAAAGCTGTAGGAAACCCACTCTCCCTCTATTTCCCCCCTCAAATACACACACCTGTGCAAAACTGCAATTGCATCAGGTTTAGCTGCCTTTGCAAAGGGGGTAGCATCCCAAAGATAGATAGATAAGACAAGACACTGGGGTAATCTTTTGAAGCTGATATTTGGCTCCCCCAAGTGGATCTTCTCATTTTTGCAGCACCTCTACTCAGCTCACTGTGCAGAAAAACTGACATACTTCTAGTTTAGGGAGGCCCCCCCCCCCAAAGCAAGTCAAAATGGAGCCACTGCGTAATCCTTCATGAAATGGCACTAGTGCGGGGCTATTTGGCACCCCCAAGTGGATCCGCCACCTCGGCTAGGTGCCCTGTGCAGAGAAACTGCTCGCATGGCTCTTCATCCTGCACTGCAGCAGAGCAAGTCACCTGGCTTGGGGAATGAATATGTCCAGGGCAGAATATTAGAGCCTTTTTCTCCTTCCTAAAGCTGGGCAAGGGCTTACTGCGTTTTGAGAAGAAGGCGGTATGTATTAGGTCATAGATGCGGTTCTGCTGTGTGAAAAGGGAGGGAGATTGACAGACTGAAATTAGCATCCTATATGAACACAGTCAGAAAGGAAAAGGGCTGTAATTAGGGATGGACGATTTTCAACATTGTGATATATCAGCAGCTAAACATTGTGATATACTGATATTGCACAATGTCTGGAATAAGGTCTGCACTACATAGAGGCAAACGGAGTAATGTCTTGGTAACTGCTGCTACTTAGTGACAGAAAACTGATAGATTTTTACTTACTTTTCATGTATTGCTAAACCCACTCCACTCAACATTTCATTTATTCAACACCCTTGGAAGAGCAGGAAGTGATTAACACCTTGCCTCCCAGAAATGAATAAATAAAAGGGGAATGGAGTAAACCCACTCCCCATTTATTTATCTCCCCTCCTGTACAAAACTGCTATTGCATTTGGGAAAGCGGTAGCATCCCAGAGCGCTCACGCTGCCCTCCCAAAGACATTGGTAATCATTTGAGGCCAATTTTTGGTGCCCTCAAGGGGATCTTCCCTATTTTGGGTCTTATTGCTGGTACCACTCTGGCTCTGGGCAGGAATTTCCAGGACTCTGGCATGGTCCTAGAGCCTTTCCCTTCTTCCCAGAGATGGGCAAGCCCTTACTGTGCTTCTGTCATAGGGAAGGCGGTGCCAAGGCTCTGGCAGAGCCCTCACACCGCCCTCCAAAAGCCACACAAAATGGAGGCACTCCGTAATCTTTCATAAAATGGCCGCCTGTCAGAGGCTATTTAGCGCTCCCACATGGGTCTTTGTAATTTTGTGCCACTTCGCCTTTTGCAGATAATTTTTAAATTTGCATAGTTAAAGTTGTATAAGTAATTAATACTCTACCTCTCAAAGGTAAAGTGAATGTTGCCTGATAGAAAGGAGGGAGACACAGGCACACATCTATGTGTTGCACAGTGTTGGGCAGGAAATGGGAGGGGGGCAATTTTGGAGGTGAGGTAGAAATCACTTTCTGCTCTTGCAAGGGTGTTAGGTCATGTGGGGGAATAAATAAACAAATGGAGAGATGAGGAAACTCAGTCTTCATTTATTTATACTTCTCCCCATACACCTACCTGTGCAGAACTGTGATTGCGACAGGTGTCTTTGGGAAAAGAGCACTTGTGCTGCCCAACCAAAGACAAATAAGATAGGTGGACTTTGCATAGCTCAGTTGGTTAGAGTGTGGTGCTGATAATGCCAAGGTTGCACAATTGATCCCCATATGGGACAGCTGCATATTCCTGCATTGCAGGGGGTTGGACTGGATGACCCTCAGGGTCCCTTCCAACTCTACAGTTCTATGATTCTATGGTTAATTTTTCTGCTCCCAATGCTTAGCGCCCTCAAGGGGATTTTCTCTATTATAGATCTTACTGCTATCACCCCTTGGTCCTAGAGTCCTTCCCTCCTTCCCAAATATGGGCAAGCACTTCTTAGGTTTCCAGCTTATGTAAGGCAGTGCCAGGGCTCTAGCATAACCCAGAACCCTTGCACCGTGCTCTCCAAAAGCCAGACAAAATGGAGGCACTCTCTGATCTTTCACAAAATGGTGGCTTTGTGAGTCCGCTATTTACCACCCCCGAAGTGGATCTTCTTAATTTTGTGTCACCTTGGCTGGCATCCTATGCAGAGGAACAGCTGTCATTGCTGTCAATCCTGCACTGAGCATGGAGGCTTTCTGGGGTACCTCACTCTGGCAAGTTCCTAGAGCATTCCCAAAGCTCGACAAGCGCTTACTGACAGCCAGGAGAGCTCTGGCAGCATTCCATAGCCCCACCACCAACACCTTCCCAAAGTCAGGTAAGCAGCCCCATAGTTTGCTGGGGACTTTATTCATTTTTTCCTCAGATTTTGTCCTCCAGCATCCTGCCCTGACAAAACTAGTGATGTGTAGATGCTTTACCTTGTTGTTCAATGAAGTATTTATGTGATTTTGTGTTCCACCACTAGAGGTGCTTTTAGGATTTGTGAATGACCGAGATAGCATAGCACTGTGTAAACAAGAGAACAGCAATAATGGACTGGAAACCGTGTTAAGTATCTTGGGAAGAATACCTGTCATGTATTAGATAATAGATGTGGTTCTGCTATGTGAAAAAGGCATGGAGACTGACAGACTGAAATGAGCATCCTACATGAACACAAGCCAGAAATTAAAAGGGCTGCAAGTACAGCTGGGCGATTCTCAAGATCGTGATAAGTCAATAGCTAAACATTGTGATACATTGATATTGCACAAGGTCTGAAATAAGTACCTTTAACATATTGCTGCAACTGTTATGTCACAGTACAGATAATTTTAGCCTAGCACATTTTCTCTTAAGTTAAAGTTGCCGAAATAGTAGCATAGATATCAAATATAAGGTGAGAGAATGTTCCTTAATAGACGAGAGAGAGAGAGAGAAGTACACATCTGTATGTTTTGCAGTAACGTGGGGGGGGATTTGGGAGGCCATGCATAAGGGTGTCAAGAGGTGGAGAAACAAATAGTAAGCAGACACACTTCATTGATTTCTCTCTCACACCCACCCTATACACACACCTGTGCAAAACTGCTATTGCATCAGGTTTAGCTGGCTTTGAAAAAGGGGCAGCTTTCAAAAATGGAATATTTGGTGTCCCCAAGTGTATCTTCTTAATTTTGTGGCAACTCAGCTCTGTTCCATGAGCAGAAAAACTGCCAGGCTCCTGGCTTAGGGAAAGCAGTGCCAATGTTCTGGCAGCATCCCAGAGCCCTCACACCGCCCTCCAAAAGCCACACAAAATGGAGGCACTCCGTAATCTTTCATAAAATGGCCGCCTGTCCAAGGCTATTTAGTGCTCCCACGTGGATCTTTGTAATTTTGTGCCACTTCGTCTTTTGCAGATAACTTTTAAATTTGCAGAAAGTTGTATAAGTAATTAATACTCTACCTCTCAAAGGTAACGTGAATGTTGCCTAACAGAAATGAGGTACACAGGTACACATCTATGTGTTGCACAGTGTTGGGCAGCAAAGAGGAGGGGGGCAATTTCGGAGGTGAGGTGGAAATCACTTTCTGCTCTTGCAAGGGTGTTAGGTCATGTGGGAGAATAAATAAACAAATGGAGAGATGAGGAAACTCAGTCTTCATTTATTTATACTTCTCCCCATACACCTACCTGTGCAGAACTGTGATTGCGACAGGTGTCTTTGGGAAAAGAGCACTTGTGCTGCCCAACCAAAGACAAATAAGATAGGTGGACTTTGCATAGCTCAGTTGGTTAGAGTGTGGTGCTGATAATGCCAAGGTTGCACAATTGATCCCCATATGAGACAGCTGCATATTCCTGCAATGCAGGGGTTGGACTGGATGACCCTCAGGGTCCCTTCCAACTCTACAGTTCTATGATTCTATGGTTAATTTTTCTGCTCCCAATGCTTAGCGCCCTCAAGGGGATTTTCTCTATTATAGATCTTACTGCTATCACCCCTTGGTCCTAGAGTCCTTCCCTCCTTCCCAAATATGGGCAAGCACTTCTTAGGTTTCCGGCTTATGTAAGGCAGTGCCAGGGCTCTAGCATAACCCAGAGCCCTTGCACCGTGCTCTCCAAAAGCCAGACAAAATGGAGGCACTCTGTGATCTTTCATAACATGGTGGCCTTGCGAGTCTGCTCTTTAGCGCCCCCAAGGGGATCTTCTTAATTTGGCACCTTGTGCAGAGAAGATGCTGGCACCACTCTCAATCCTGCACTGAGCAAGAAGGCTGGCTCTGGAAGGAAGGTGTGGGGTTCTTGCAGGGTCCTAGAGCCCTTCTCTCCCTCCCAAAGCTGGGCAAGCACTTACTCGGCATTACTTAGCATCATAAAACTGACAAGATATTTACTTACCTTTCACATATTGCTGCAGCTGTTATTTCATAGCACAGATAATTTTAAAATTTGCACTTTTTCTCTAAAAGTAAGGCTGTAGAAGTAAACAGTAGCATAGCTAACAGGTAAGGTGAGATGTTGTTTCCTAAAAGTTTAATTACATAATCAAGGGGGGAAAGTAAATTTTGTGAAGTGAGGGAGACACAGAAACACACACACACACACACAGAGAGAGAGAGAGAGAGAGAGAGAGAGAAGGGGACCAGTGAGGAAGGAGGCTTAAACAACAGGCCAAGTTTTATTTTTATTTTATTTAACTCAAAAGTTTTAACCCCAGTTCATTTTTCTCCAGGACTAGCAGTGGCTTCCAAGGAAGCCCCAGCTGAGGGCAGCAGTTATTCAAAAGGCAGGGCTGGACAGCCACATGGCAGCTTTTGTGAGGCTAGACATAATGGGCTTCCTGCATCGGAGGCCTCCCTCAACCACCTACCAGCCTGGCCTCTGAGCTTAAAAACAAGAAGCTCATGGCCTCAATATTACTGAGGAAAGTTTCCGGGTAGGCTCCTTTCTTCAGCGCCTGTTCTCGTGGATCGCTCCCATCTGCAAGAGGCAGGAGAGAGCTGAGGTGTCAGAGCAACAGGGGCAACAGGAATCAGAAGAAAAGAAATGACTTGCTTCAGTTTTCTCCACATCATGATTTTTACACAGCACACAAAGACATCATGAATTGCAATATATTGCCACGTCACCTGTTAGGAAACTGTTAGCATGATGTGGACTTTAAACTGTTTTTGGATGATGTAGCTATTTATCCCCCAGCCCTTTTTTAGATTTATTCAGCACATATCCCTTTTCTTAAAACAACACTTTCTGGCTGCAAGAAAGTATTGTATATGCTGCTTCAAAACTTTACCCCTTAAAGATACTATTTTTTCCTTTTAGTATTTTACAGTGGTGGAGGAAGCTGCTCGGGCACCTGGGGCAGCGCACCCATGGGCAGGCCAATAGGGGTGGGGTGCATCACGGGGCCTGCGGAGTCTGCCTGCCTCCTCCCACTCAGCTGCCCTACACCGTTTGGGCACTGTGGAGCCTGCGCACACCCAAGCCACCATGTCTATCTCATGAGAGACGTGTGGCTCGGACATGCTGCAGGCCCCGCAGTGAGTGCCGCCCAGCATTTTGTCACTCCCTTCAGTGGTGACACCCAGGGCAGACCGCACCCACCGCACCCCCTTCCTCCGCCCCTGCTTACAGCTGTTTTGTGTCATTTGAGTGGGAATTTGTGTTTTGCAGCTACTTGCTGTGGGGCCGGTAATGGGAATCAGTCTTGCTGAGCATTTTCTTATCCAATCCAAACCTTTGTTAATAAGTCCACATAAGTTGTTAGCCAAACCTCCCTGCCCTGTGTTAGGCACATCAGCACCCTGAAACCATGAAAATAACCCAAATATCTTCCATGTGTGATTGTTTGGCTGCTATCCTTTAATCACCCCAGCTAAGTGACTCTTTACGTGCCTGTTCCATACACCATTCTGGGACCTGTTGCCATTTTCTGGGACCTGTTGCTGGGCTATAGCTCCTGTCTTTCCTGCTCCTTGGCTGGGGCTGGTTGTAGTCTCAGTCCAACAATGGCTGGAGGGCCAGAGTTTCCCCATCGCTGCTCTAAGATTATGCAAAAGAGGATGGGAGCTTGACCACAACCTACTGAATTTGTGAGTGTGAAAAATCAAATCTAGGATTTTTTTCATGTAGTCCTAAAGCATTAGGCATTGTGGCATACTCTTCCTCCTGTCTCCACAATGGCTCTTACAATAGCACTCCTTGTGTGTCTAATATGTAGGAAGCTCAGATTTGTTGCTGCTCTTCCTTACTGTGCTGTTCCCCACCTTTAATTCTTCTAGGATGGGCAAAAAATTTGCATCTTGGATGAGCAAAGGTTTGCATCTCAGCTGCTCCCAAAATACTTCAAACACAACAACTTGTCCAGCTTCGTTCGTCAGCTCAACTTGTGTAAGTACCAGATCTGTGTGTGTTTACTGTTTTCTGTCCATGATTTTCACTTAGTTCACATTATAAACACAAATGATCCAAAACTGTTCTCTAAATAAAAATCAGTTGAACAAAACTGAAATTGTGGAATAATTAAACATCCCTTCCCAAAAGTTCCTAGTAGGTGTTATTCCAGATTTTTTTTTTAAGCCTATCATTCCAACAGTTGATATGCCCAATTAACTAGGATATATTTAGTCAATGCACAACTCTTAAGATTCATGTGAGTTGGCCACAAGTGCTGGAGGAAACAGCAGCAATTCTCTCAAATGATGATTATATTGCTTAAAGCTCAGGTGCAGGGAGCAAGGCCTAGTCTGAGGCACCACCACCAGGGGGAAGAAACAAAGAAAGAGGAAAAATAAAACAATGAGTCTCTCAACAGAAGTAGTTTTTTAGGCTTCAAGTAGAATTAGATCAGTTACAAGAATTGAAGGCAACAACTGCTTTCTCGGTTGCATGTTTTAGAGTGAAGCATATTCTGATGCACAGTATCCTCTGTGATGCATTGCTGTGAAGAGGGTTTCCTGTGAGGGGAATGTTTTGAAAAGCCCTGCCCTAAAGATAACCATAACTTTAAAATGGGGTGGGGTGGAGAATAGTCCCATATCCCTCAACAAATGTTCTTGTATTGAAATACTGATTTCTAGCTAAAATGAAGAGATGATCTCGGGAAAGAGTGCAGGCATTGTTGAGTTGGACACAATAAGAGTTTCCTGGTCTTGAAACAAAGCAGGGGAATGGCAGGAGGTGTCACAATTTGGAACATGGGTGGCATAATTCGTGGATGAAGCTTGTCTTTATCCAGCATCATTAATCGCCTCCTCTTTTGAAATTTAGACTTGTGGCTTAAAAGAAGTGAAGGGGAATAGCGTTTCACCACTCTGTTGTGAAGTTCACTGAGGGCCTCTCAGACACTCTTGGGACAGTCAGGTGTTCTCAGCCCAATCTGCTTTGCAGAGCTGCTACAAGGGTAACATGGAGGCCGGGTAGGACCACCTCTGTGTGCTGTTCTGAGCTCCTTGGAGGAAGCGGGGAATAGGAGGGCATGGATGAACTAACTAAAAGCACTGCAAGTAATATCAGTTTCTAGAGATGTAGCCGTGCTAGTCTCGCAGAAAAACTCTCAAGAGTCCTGTGGCCCTGGTCAGGTGCATTTGATGAAGTGGGTTGTGGTCCATGAAATCTTGCACCATAATAAATTTGTTGGTCCTGAAGGTGCCACACAACTCTTTGCTTGATGGTACTAAAACAACAATCAAAACGAGCAAGCCAAGATGCTGCAGTTCTTGCTGTTAGAGGGCATGATGAGTGGCAGGTGTGCTTCCCTTCGTTGCTTCCCTCTTCCTTTACCTGTTTACCTTCTATAATCATTGGTCAAAAGAAATGACCATGGGCAGGTTTGTTTCAATTACGTGGACCTCCTCTCTCTGAAAAGTATGTTTTCAGGTGTCTTATTCTGTGTTGTTATTTATTTCATAAAATTGAAACACTGCTTGATTGTAAAAAAGTGAAGACAAAAACTCAACACAGTTTACAAAAAGGATACAACAATAAAATTATCAATAAGAAAAATGAATAATTTAAGACATTCAAAAAGTTAAAACAGCAATAGACTAAAAACAAATTAAAACACACATCAGCTTTTTTTAAATGTAAGGACAGGCTTGTCTAAACAAAAATGTTTTTAGCAGGTGCCAAAAAGATTACAGGGAAAGTGCCTGCCTGATGTCAATAGGCAGGGAGTTCCAAAGTATAGGTGCTACCGCAAGAAAAAGATCAAGTTCTTGCAGATGTGGAACAGGTGTTATATGGCACCTGTAAAAAGTACCAGTTCTGCAGATTGAAGCCATTGAGTAGGCTTATGTGGGGCAAGGCAATCTTGCAGGTAAATTGGTTCCAAGCTGTTAAGGGCTTTGTATACCAGTAGCAAAACCTTGAACATGGATTGGTATATTGTTATATTCTTACTATGGAAGTTGAACAGATCTAGAATCGTATCGCCTCTTGGGAGGAGAAACTAAAGAGCATTCATCTCCTTTAATGCCTTCACAGATGGCTTCAAGAAGGTAATATCAATGAGAAATGAAACAACGGTCACTTTCAACAACTCTCCCATGGAGTATCAACACCCACAGTTTAATAAAGGGAAACCTGAACTGCTGGCGAGCATCCAACGGAAGGTATTCCCCTCCCCCCCGTTCACAACCTGGTGAAGACCTTAGCTCTTAAATGCAACCACAGTGATGTTGGTGCCACACACAGGATTCCTGCTTGTGCATGTGTGTGTGTGTGTGTGTGAGGGGCAGCATTGCCAATAAGCCTCCATAGCAGAGCTTACAGATGCCTCATTGTTGCCACAATACATGACTGATTCCCCATCACCTTCAGATTATTTGGGTATATAGGCTTGACCAGCCTTTCTCAACCTGGTACCGTCCAGACATCTTGGACTCCAGCTCCCATCAGCCCCAGCCAGTATGGCCAATGGTCAAGGATGATGGGAGTTGTTATCCTTCAAGGTGTGAAGGGGCCAGGCTGAGGAAGCCTGAACTTTACTGCGACTGGCTGTTACAGCCATATATAACAGTCATTTTTGTATGCTGCCATCTGAGATTATTAAGAAATTGCAGTATTTTATTTGAAAAATATATTGGTTATATAGGCTGAAATATACAGATTCCAAGTACGTAATGTTCAAGGCTTCCAACTGTTTTCACTCATCTGTGCAATAGTCTTGCAAGGATGGCTCTTGTTGTTTGAATAGTCAGAGGTCAATAACTTTTGGCTTGCCTTAGCAGCCTAGTTCTCTTGCTGCTCCTGGACCGGCGTGGGGGCAAGTTCTTCACTGTGCCATCATTCTGCATCTCTGAGGGGGCTCCTCTGACCTGTTGGGGCAATCCTCTCGTCCCCAGGAGTGAACAGGGCTCTCACTGTTCCTCTAATATTTTCTGAGGGTCAGTGCAAAGTTGATGAAACCCTCCACTTTCTTTCCAAGCCTGATTTCAGATCAGGCTAGTGGGTGTGTCTCACAGTGACTCAGGACAGGGCCTTCTCTGTAGTGGTGCCTCGATTGTGGAATTCCTTCCCCTGGAGGTGCAAAAGGCCACTATGCTGGTTCAAGAGGAGGGGAGGATCACCTTGCGTGTGAACCCAAGGTTCATCTGTGGGGTGGGAAGCTGTGGTTTTCCTTTTGTGTGAGTCAGGCCTGTGCGAGGGAAATATCAGTGGCCTCTCAAGTGTTCCCTAAACATTTTTTCCAAACTGCACAAACCCACTTAAAGGGCTCACTTTTGAATGATGCTTGAATGAACTGGCAGTTTTCTTACTGAGGCACTCAGAGGCCATTTGTTTCCAAAATTATAGAGCTGCAGTTGTGCTGCTGCTGCCAGCTGAGGTGGTATATGCACCAGATTTGGGATTTCTCCTGTGATAGATAGAGTTGAGGCTGGATGGCTTCCAAAGTCCTCGCTCTGCAAAAGCCAGTCCCTTAACTGCATTTGTTCCCTGCTTAAACAATAACTTGTCTCTAAAAACAGTACCTGCAATCTGATTCTGTCACAGGTGTATACACGCAAGGAGCCCGCAGCCAGCTCAGAAAAAGACCAGCAGGCAATGCTCGCCGAATTCCGGGCCATGAGAGAACAGCAGGATGGCATAAGCACCAAGCTGGATACTGTGACTAGGTGTCAACATTTCTTCTGCTGAGTTTGTACTGTCTTGTAATGAGAGCCACTCTGCTCATTTTAGGTTTTGCAACATCTTCAACTTATCTGCATTTGCAAAGCTATAGGTAGGGTGGGGGCTGCATAGCAGGATTTGGCACCACGGTGAAGTGTGATGCTGAGTGCAAAAATAAGCAGAATCTGGGTAATTTACACACACTTTTCAGTGCCTTTTTCAGCATTATGGCTAAGTAGCTTGTAGGTACCATGAAGCTTCTATCTGTGCTATGTTTTGAGCTTCACTTGTGTGCCATGTTATCTGTTTGCAGAGCTCAACTTAGGGCAGAGACCGAAATGTCCTGTTTAATTTCTGGGTAATTCAGCAGCATTAGTACTTTCACACTTGGCTGTTTCTCGCTTGCATTTAGGCGGTTCTGAAGTGGCCGTTAGAAAGAGCCATTCTGTACCACTGGCATCTGTCTGTCTTGAGAGACAATGGAGTGTGCCTCCAGGGGTGAAGTCAAACTGCTGGAGAACCTATAGCTCATTTCTAATAAGGGCATGTGAGGAATCCTGCTGGATCAGGCCTAAGACCCATCTTGTTCAGCATCATGTTCTCACAGTGGCCATCCAAATGCCTCTGAGAGACTCAGAATTGTGAGCAACTGATATTCAGAGGCCTGCTATTTCCGGTACTGGAAGCACACAGTTATCATGATAACATTATTTGTTCATGACTGATATACCAAATAAACTTATCCGCCATTAATTTGCCTAATCCCATTTTAAACCAGTCACATTTTTTGATGATCACTACATCTTGTGCTTAGCAGATTTCATAGTTTACGCACTGCATGAATAAATAATAGCTTTTTTCTGTCTTGAAGGAAAGTGCCTTATATTGAACCATACACTTTCCCTCAGCTCTGTCTACACTGGCGTAGCCAACATGGTGCCCCCTAGATGCCCTATGCAGTGTAGGCCCAAGCTATCTGAAAAACCTTATTCCCTCATATAAACCTGCCCCGAACTCTAGATTTAGAGAGGCTGCTTCTAGGCTTTGAAGCTCTCTCCCCAAAGAAGCTAGACTGGCTCCCATGTTGTCCTTCCAGTGGTGGGGGAAGATGGTTTTATTCTGACAGTCTTTGGGGAGCTTTTTTTTTAAGGAAGTGTTTTTAACAGTGCTGTTGTGTTTTTATTATCTAAAAGATAATCATTAAAAGGTAACTAAGATCTTATAGAATTGAAACAATATAAAAACAAGTCTATTAAGAGTTACTTTTTAATTATTATCTTTTCTGTTTTTTTGTATTTTATCTGGGTCATTGTGTCAGTCCCGGTTAGCAAAAGAATGTGAGATACAAATAAATGAAATAATAATTAATAATGGATATTTTTTACTACAGTTCCCAGCAGCCCCAGCAAGCATGGTCTAGTATTAAGGGATGATAGGAGTTGTGATCCAAACATCTGGAGGGGGCACCAACTTCTGCTTTAGAAGGGTACAGTACATATGTATGTCTAACCTTTGTGATTTCAACTTTATGCTGTTGAAGACCAGCTGGTTGAAATCAAACAAATTAATTGCACAGAAGGTGGAGAGCTTAAAGGTTTTATTGGATAGGGTTTTTTTCTGGCATGGAAAGAGCTTTTAATCTCCCTGTCTTGCTTACCTGGCTCTCATGAAGTCTTGGATGGCCCCATGAGATCTCACAGCCCAGTAAGCAGAGAGCTTAAAAGCTCTCTACCTTCCTTTGGTGTGCTGTCTCCAGAAGATTGCTCATGCATGGGCATTTCAAGTATATGTGTTTTTGCATATACACACTATCCCTGGAATGCAGCCCCTGCAGAAGATGCAATTGTACTGTACCTTCCAACTCAAGGACTGGCTGAACAGCAAGGGAGGTGTATGTGAAATTCCCCAGAACCAACCCAGCAGGCCTGCCATGATGAGGAACAAGAGCTGGTTAACTCAAGGGTCGTCAGGATTGGCGGTCCAAGTACATAATCACTGTTTTTCTGACACATCAAGCTGAGGTTTTCCACTGAGTGCGGCACTGAAAAGCAGCTGTGTCTACTATGCTTGTATGAAGTGGGTACATTGCCTTCCCACTTCTCATTTCTGGTTCTATATCTAAAAAAGCAGCATGAAATGTCCCCTGACGTTGTGCCATCATAAGGCAGGTATGTGACCATCTTCCCTTCTTCCTTAGTTCTTCTTACCTCCCTCTGTGCCTGTTCTTTCAGGGACACTACCTCCGTGCTTGAGGGCGTGGGCTCTCTGCAACAGAAGGAAGATCAGCAGCAGGACGTCTTATCTCAGGTACCAGAAAAAGACTTTGCTTTTCTCCTGATGTTCCAGAGCAGCCTTTGCCAACTAACTGTCCTCCTGATGTGTTTTGGACTATGGCTTCCATCAGTCCTGGTCAAATGGAAGTGGCATCTGGAGGGCAACACCCCTGCTTGCAAAGGCTGCACTATGGCATACCAGAAGTAGATGAGTAAAGTACACAGAGATAGATGGTAATCTTTATGTCCTGTTAAGGCAGGGTAATTTAGGATAGTGGCTAAAGCTGAGCTGTGAATTTAGAAGTCCCCCCATTCAGAACTCTCCTAAATGCTCTAGGAGGATTATGCAAACCACTGCCTGCCTTGCCTCACCTCCATAATATGCAGTATGGGGATAATGCTTGTTTGCTTAAAAGTATTTATGTACCATTCCATATTTTCAGAAACCTAAACAGTGTACAAGACACGATCTAAAACCAGTAAATCAGCAATATAAAAACAAATGAAACAGATATTCAGAGGATTCAAACACACAAATATGCTTCCCTGTTCCATTCAGCTTGCATAAAATCATTAACAAATGAGGCAGTCTCTGCCTGCAAGCTTGCTATCTAAAAGACACAACACAAGAAGAAAAGGCAGGTGGACAAGATGGAGAAAGAGGAAAACTAGCACACTTGGGTCACTAGTCCTAAATGTTACTGAGTAATTACTGCAATGACTAGTCTGAATGGAGCTGAGTGGATATGGTCTTTCTTTGATGCACCCTGATGGAACTGCTTCTGCCAAGTGGCAGTTGAAGGGCGGGAAGAGCCCATGCTGGCTGCTGCATGGCAAATGCTTTTTCAAACTCAGGCCTTCTTCTGTAGCTTGCAAGCCTGAACATGGCAGGTGTGTCTTGATAGCTAACTCTCAGTTGGAACTGTCCCCTGACCCTGTGGCAATGGCTAAAAGGAATACATGGCTTCTAACATTCACTCACTCATTCATTCATTCATTCATTCATTCATTCTCTCTCTACCTCTTTGACTTCAGATCCTCCAGATCATTATGAATTGCATGTCTGAGACAGGCAGGCAGGATGTCCAAAGGAAAAGGTAATTCTTACTACTTTCTTCTCCTGTTGCCCAAAATGAACCTATAAAATAATTCCCCCTATTTAGTTGGGGAAAGAAGCCAAAGCTTGTATTTGCAGCATGCAGCGCTTTGACCTCTGGAAAACGTCTTAGACAAGACCAGCAGAAAGGGGTTTGCCGAGGCACTAAGACCCCAGGTACCCTCAGTGGTGCTTCTTTGAAACATGGTACTTCCTGTTCATTTCACTCTATCACCACACTATTTTAAATATTGCGGCTTCATCTCTCTGATTCCTTATATCGGGTTTTGTGAAATATTTGTTGTGGGCTTGTATGGAGATACTTAGTGTTTAGGCTGTTTAGGGATGCTTTAGATACTGTGACTTTCTTGCTTACCTGGAAAGGTCACATGAAGCTGCCTCATACTGAGTCAGACCATAGACCAATATTTCCTATACGTTGACTGGCAGCAGCTCTCTGAGTTGTTCCCCACCCACTCAAGCCCTCCTACCTGAGAATATTTTAACGGGAGATGCTACAGATTGAACCTGGGCCCTCCTTCAAGAAATGTGTGTGCCTCACCACTAAGAAGCTCTTTCCCCCATGGTCCATGTTCACCTGTTACATCCTTGTCATTTTCTCTGTACGTCCTCACCTTTTATAGATGTTTGGGGAGCCATAGCTCGCAAGAGCTTGCTATTTTTACTTGGAGTGTTTGTGCCTGGTTCTTCAGCCCAAAAAGCTTCCAGAGTGGCTTACATATAATCTAAACAGGACAGTCCCCACCCAAAGGCTTATGATCTTAAAACATCAACAGTGACAACCCCGACAACGTAGAAGGGAAAAGGGAAGGTGGGGCAGAGAAGAAAACCAAAACTCAAACAATTGTTCCTATAAACAATTGTTCCTATAATGCCCAACTGGCACAGTTGAGGACCAGCAGGTGTCTGGTGGACCTGGGCCTCCAGCAAAGCTGACAGAGTGAGCTTCCTGCTTCCCTTCTCTCTCCCCACTGAGGTAGCCTGATGGAAGGGCTGCCCACAGTTGATGGATGAGGGAAAGGAAGACCGGAGGTGCTGGCCTGTCAAAAAAAAAAAAAAAAAAGCTTGGTAGGAAATTATGCATTTTAAATAAATTCACAAGACTGGCTTTCAGATTTTACTGTAGAAATCATACACGACAGAAAGCCTTTGTGAAGATACTTTATCAGTCATCATAATATGATTGATATTAACAATACAGTGGTAAGTAGTAAAGGGATCTCCCATGCTGCAAAAGAGGGTAAAATCTTGAGCAAGTGGATAAGATTTAGGCCAACCTATCTGTACTTCTGGCTTTGCCTCCTTCATTTCTTCTGCAGGTAAGGATTGCCTTATGTGGAAGACACCTGCACAGATGAATTTTTGAATTAGATGTTTTGGCCCCTCATATCTTTCTAAGCATGTCATAAGAATTTGGTTATTTATGTGTGTGTGTGTTTTTCTCTCTCACTCACTCAGACCTTGGAATGATGCTTCGGAAGCCCCTCGTCCAAAGAACAGCCGTCCACAGGCTCACAGTGCTATGAAGGATCGTGAAACAGTAAGCTTTTTAAAAAATTAAAAAATAATTCTCCTGTTTTACTTTGTGTACAATAGCCCAGGTAAAAGATTTAACCAGTATGACACTAGTCAGACATTTTATTTATTTCATAAGATTTATACACCTGCTTGATGGTTGTGGGGGTGGGGGTAGGGAGAGAACATCAAGAGAAAATTAAAAATATTGTCTGTAAAAAAGCACTTAAAACCTTCAAAGATTAAAATAAGCTAAAAGCAGATTAAAACATATATCAACATTCTATATGTCTGGGTAGGCTTGCCTAAACAAAAATGTTTTTAGCAGGCAGGCTGAAAAGAATACAGTCATACCTCGGAAGTTGAACGGAATCTGTTCTGGAAGTCCGTTCGAATTCCAAAATGTTCAGAAACCAAGGCGTGGCTTCCGATTTGCTGCAGGAAGCTCCTGCAGCCAATCAGAAACTGCAGAAGCCCCGCTCTGGGCGTTCGGGTTCCAAAGAACGTTCGCAAACTGGAACACTCACTTCTGAGTTTGCGGCGTTCAGGAGCCAAAATGTTTGAGTCACAAGGTGTTCAGGATCCAAGGTACAACTGTACAGTGAAGGCACCTGCCTGATGTTAGTAGGGAGTTCTAGAGTGTAGGTGTTGTCACACTAACACATCAGTTTCTTACTCTTGTCTCTTGCAGGCAGCTGTTCCAGGACACAGTGCAGACCACAGAAACTTGATTGTGACCCGTAACAACATGGAGGGTGAAGCAGGGGGTGCTGCTGGTGCAAATAATGGGCAGGCTGTAGTGCGTGAGCCCCATGGGACTGGGTGAGTGTTATGTACTGAAGTTCTCACCCTGGGCCAGCAGGGGGATACTGTAGATAGTTCAGGTCCACATATGCAAATAAGGGATCGAAAGTGAATTTCAGTGATTGGATAGTTACAGAAAATGGTTACTGTTGTGTTCTAGTGGAGCGCTATATAAGCAGGCTGGCTGAACCCTTCAGTTCAGTTCTGTTCTGGCCTGTGAATAAACAAGAGCTATTTGAAGAATCACTGTGTCGTCTGATATGTTCACCCACAACTTAACAGTGAGGATGCAGAATTCAAAACGTGCATTGTGGCTTAGACAGGTAGGTAGGTTGGCTGGCTGTTTTCAGTAAACAATTTAGAGGCTGAAGACTGTGCTGCAACCCTTTTTGCTTTGGGTGATATATGCATAGAGTGTCTCTCTTTGGCTGACTGCTTGGAAACCCCAAAATGCCAAGAAATTGATATATGTTTCCCTGCCTCCCAAAGATTTGATTGTTGCTTCTTGCATAAGTAAGTGAAAACAATCAATATTCAGCAATCCTACCTAGAAGCCGCAAACATCTATTTAATTACATTTAACTTTACAGTCATTTTAGCTTTTAAACGAAGGCATCATTCCATAAGTTGCTGTGTGTTCTCGGAGGCCCTAAACCACGTTCTGTCAGTGTTGCATATGCAGTGCTTTTTTTCTGGGGGGACGCATACCCCTAAACATTTTGTGAATCTAAGTTTGGCCTCATTGAGGGGCAGTATTTCATTATGCGTAGGAAAATGAGAGCACCCCTAAACATTTTTTTTAAAAGAAAAGCAGCACTGTGCATATATGTAAAGAGAAGTATGCCAGGTTGATTGAAAAGTATTGATTTTCTTGTCTGTTTCACTCTTTCAAACATGGGTTGTCAGTTTTTCTGTTAACGTTAAGTACGAAAGTTGTGGAGTGTTTTATTTTGGCAGAATACTGTACTTTCTAGTCACTTCTTCTTTAAAAGAAGCTAGTAGAGCTGGCAAAGTGTGCAAGGAAATGAGTAAGTACAAAACTGACTGGGTTTTGCTTGAACAAAGCTTGGAAAGATCCTAAGCAGAGTCTTCCCCTGTGTTGGAGATCCTTGTAACTGGAGATGCTGAGTACTGAATCAGGGGACTCTCTGCATGGAACCCTGTGCTTTGGTGCTAGGTTAAGTACCAACCTCCTAAGATTACACTTGTTGTTGTTGTATAGTCGTGTCCGACTCTTTGTGACCCCATGGACCAGAGCACGCCAGATACTCGTGTCTTCCACTGCCTCCCGCAGTTTGGTCAAACTCATGTTAGTAGCTTCGAGAACACTGTCCAACCATCTCGTCCTCTGTCGTCCCCTTCTCCTTGTGCCCTCCATCTTTCCGAACATCAGGGTCTTTTCCAGGGAGTCTTCTCTTCTCAAAGTATTGGAGTCTCAGCTTCAGGATCTGTCCTTCCAGTGAGCACTCAGGGCTGATTTCCTTCAGAATGGATAGGTTTGATCTTCTTGCAGTCCATGGGACTCTCAGGAGTCTCCTCCAGCACCATAATTCAAAAGCATCAATTCTTCGGCAATCAGCCTTCTTTATGGTCCAGCTCTCACTTCCGTACATCACTACTGGGAAAACCATAGCTTTAACTATACGGACCTTTGTTGGCAAGGTGATGTCTCTGCTTTTTAAGATGCTGTCTAGGTTTGTCATTGCTTTTCTCCCAAGAAGCAGGCGTCTTTTAATTTCGTGCCTGCTGTCACCATCTGCAGTGATCATGCAGCACAAGAAAGTAAAATCTCTCACTGCCTCCATTTCTTCCCCTTCTATTTGCCAGGAGGTGGTGGGCCCAGTGGCCATGATCTTCATTTTTTTGATGTTGAGCTTCAGACCATATTTTGCACTCTCCTCTTTCACCCTCAATAAAAGTTTCTTTAATTCCTCCTCACTTTCTGCCAACAAGGTTGTGCCATCTGCATATCTGAGGTTGTTGATATTTCTTCCAGCAATCTTAATTCCGGCTAGGGATTCATCCAGCCCAGCCTTTCGCATGATGAATTCTGCATATAAGTTAAATAAGCAGGGAGATAATATACAGCCTTGTCGTACTCCTTTACCAATTTTGAACCAATCAGTTGTTCCATATCCAGTTCTAACTGTAGCTTCTTGTCCCACATAGAGATTTCTCAGCAGACGGATGAGGTGATCAGGCACTCCCATTTCTTTAAGAACTTGCCATAGTTTGCTGTGGTCGACACAGTCAAAGGCTTTTGCATAGTCAATGAAGCAGAAGTAGATGTCTTTCTGGAACTCTCTAGCTTTTTCCATAATCCAGCGCATGTTTGCAATTTGGTCTCTGGTTCCTATGCCTCTTCTAAATCCAGCTTGCACTTCTGTGAGTTCTCGGTCCACATACTGCTTGAGCCTACCTTGTAGAATTTTAAGCATAACCTTGCTAGCGCGTGAAATGAGTGCAATTGTGCGGTAGTTGGAGCATTCTTTGGCACTTCCCTTCTTTGGGATTGGGACGTAGACTGATCTTCTCCAATCCTCTGGCCACTGCTGAGTTTTCCAAACTTGCTGGCATATTGAGTGTAGCACCTTAACAGCATCATCTTTTAAAATTTTAAATAGTTCAGCTGGAATACCATCACTTCCACTGGCCTTGTTATTTGCAGTGCTTTCTAAGGCCCATTTGACTTGTATAAACTAGTACAGAGTTCATGAATGGAGAAACCAGTTACTGAACTGAAGTTACTGAAAATACAGACATGTGGGAGATATTCAGTGTGAATGAACAAGTGGCTTTCGTATATGCCATGATATCTAGGCACAGGTCCATGATTTGTAGGTGTGTTTGCTGCTGAACAAGAAGAAACATCAATTGGGTTTTCTGTGGATTGGTGTTTGTTCCACTTCAGTGATAAGCAACAGGTTTTCTCAGGGAAAGCACTGAGGCAAGCAGAAAACCGCTCAGACCAGTCCTACAAATAAGGGGCCTGTGCTTGGAAATCATGGCACAAATGGAAGTGTGAGTAAGCTAAAAGTCTTGCATGATCAAGTCCCCTCTTCTCTCCCATCAGGTTTCAATACCACTGTTCCACCTGTGTGTTAAATTTACAAAGCAGAAGTCAAATGCCTCTTCAAGATCTTTTTGCAGTTAAGGCATAATTCAACCAGGGTTAAGTGATGCTGTGTATGTGTGCTTGCTTAAGAGCAGCCTGCCTTAATGTGGTGCCCTGCAGAGCAGCCAGCACAGGTTGGGAGAGACTGCCTGAAAACATGAAGAAGTGCCTTTCTGAGATCACATTTAAGCTGAGTCCTCTTGGCAAAAATCCCAGCTTTGTTGCTGACCATAGCTAAGTTCATATGGATCTACATATTTCAAAGCAGGTTCTCAACCACTGAGCTGTGGCTCTACCCATCAAAGCTAACCTTTGCACCTATTTTTATTGTTAAGGCTGTTTGGGAAAGGGCCATAGCCTACTGGTAGATCATTGGCTTTGCATGCAGAAGGTCCCCAAGTTCAATCCCCAATGGTGGCTCCAAGTAAGGCTGAGAGAGATTTCCTGTCTGAAACTCTGGAGAGCCACTTCCAGTCAGTGTACACAACACTGAGCTGCATGGACCAATTTGATTTAAGGCAAGCTACCCGTGTTCTTTTGTTTTCTATTGGAAGGTGGGACATAAGCACTTTATTTAAAACAACAACAACCCTGCTACTCCACATTCCTGCCACTGAATCATAGAATTGCAGAGTTGGAAAGGACCCCCAAGGCTCATCCAGTCTAACCCCCTGAAATGCAGGAATCACAGCTAAAGCACCCCTGACAGATGACCATCCAACCTCTGTTCCAAAACCTCCAAGGAAGGAGAGCCCACCACATTCTAAGGGAATTCATTCCACCATGAAACAGCTCTTTGATCAGGCTGCTTCTTTCCTTTGGCTTCTCCCATGAATGTGGCAACGCTTGCCTTTTTTCTTCTACCTATTGTTTAATTTTAGACTTTCTGCTTTTCTTCATAGAGAGGAGGGTCAAGACTTCTTGAATTTATTGATATCAAACACTGTGAAGATTGATACGGAGCTGAGTGAGGAGGAGCAAAACAATATCTCAGAAATACTTTCTCAGGTAAGTTCATCTTCATGTGGGCAAGTTCCTAGATTTGTAATAGCGGCACTCATTCATGCAACAAAGGACGAAAACAGCATTTGTGGATTTAAAAAAGTGGTTTGCCATTGTACTGCCATCTCGGTTGTGAGTCTTGGGGGAGGGCAAGGTCCTGACTAACTGCAGATTTGAAAGCTGAGGCCGCTGAATAGATCTTTGGGTTGGAGTACTTGGCTGGTTTCAGTTTTGTTATAATACACCCATTGTCTAAAACGTTTTAAATAGTTTTAAACTGTTTTTGTCTTGCATGTTTCTTGTTTTTTGTGGAATATACCTGGGGAGAGAGGATCTAGGAACAGCAGCCCCATCACAGTGGTTCAGGGTAGGGGGAGGAATGATGTAGGAGCTGGGGTGGGCAGGGTAAAAGGCACACGGCACAGGCAGTTGGTGACTCTGCCATGTGCCAGTTCCTCTTTGAACTCGAGGACTTATCTTATCAGCCAGCCGTCAGGTCTGTGGCTGCTGGTGCTGAATGCGAAGTTGGCTCGGAGTGAGACCATCCTCATCCATTGTTCCACTGTGGATGTGGAGGCTCGTCTACATGATATAATTGAGACCTGGGTGGGTGAGCAGGGTGGAGTTGGTCTCACCCAGTTGTGCTTACCTGGATACTTGGTGCAGCATCAGGGCAGACTTGAGGGTCAGGGAAGGGGGTGTTGCTGTGATCTATAGAAATTCTCTCTCTCTCCAGTGTCTCTGTCCAGTGTGGGGCAGGGATCAAGAATGTGTGCTCCCTGGCATTGGGCAATCACAACAGATTAGGGATTCTGCTGGTTTACTGCCCACCTCGCTGCCAAGCAATCTCCCTGCCCGAGCTGACAGAGCTGGTCTCAGTGTTGAGGACCCCCAGACTGGTGATTCTGGTGAACTTCAACATCCATGCTGAGGTGACTGGCTCTGGAGTGGCTCAGGACCTCATGGCTGCCACGATGATCATGGGGCTGTCCCAACAAGTCACCAGCCCAACACTTGTGGCAGGCCACATTCTGGGCCTTGTATTCTCAACTGGGCAGGAAGAGGGTGATTTGAAGGTGGGGGACATTGACATCAGTCCCTTGTCGTGGTCAGATCCTGTTGAGGTTTAGGCTGTCAGCATCTTTCCCCCTCCTCCGAGGCGAGGGTCCTGCATGAATGGTCCGCCCTCAAAGGCTAGTGGACCCAATGAGTTTCCAGAAGGCTCTGGGAGATTTTCTGGCTGATATGACTGACTCTCCTGTTGAAGCCCTGGCCCACCTCTGGAACATCCAAATGACAATTGACACAATTGCCCCTGGGCACCCTTTTCCACTTCATGGAGCCCACTTGGCTCCATGGTATACTCCAAAGCTTAGGACGAGGAAACAAGTGAGGCAGCCTGAACACAAGTGGAGGGAAGATCTGGTTGAATGCAGTTGAACACGGGTGAGGGCTCATCATCAAGCCTACCTAGCAGCAATGAAGGCAGCAAAGAGGGCATATTTTGCTGCCTCCATTGCATCCTCACTATGTCGTCTGGCAGGGCTTTTCCTGGTAGCATGGCGCCTCATTACAATCTGAACCAAAGGAGATGGTGTAACTAACGGTAGCTCGCTATGACTTGTTTGCAAATCATTTTGTGGATAAAATCGCTTGCATCCACTGTGATCTTGACTCCGCTGTTATAGCAGATCAATTCATGGGGTGTCTAGACCTGTTGGATGAGTTTCAGTTAGTAAGGCTCAAGGATGTGGACAAGGGGCTTGGATCAGTCAGCGTGATAACTTGCACTCTGTACCCTTGCCCCTCTTTGCTGTTAAAAACTAGCAGGGTGGGGACAGCAGTCTGGGCCAGGGTTGTGGTTAATGGCTCCCTGTGAGAGGGGCTAGCGGTGACAAAGCCACACCTCAAGAAACCCTCCCTGGATTTGGAAAATCTAAGTACCGTATTTTTCGCTCTATAGGACACACTTTTTCCCCTCCAAAAATTAAGGGGAAATGTGTGTGCGTCCTATGGAGCGGATGCAGGCTCCTTGGCTTCAGCGATAGCAACGCAAAGCCTCCGAAGTGCAGAGGGAGCGCTCCCTCCGTGCTCCGGAGGCTTCCCGTTGCTTTCGCTGAAGCCTGGAGAGTGAGAGGGGTCGATGCGCACCAACCCTTCTCACTCTTCAGGCTTCAGGGATAGCCGCCTGAAGCCTTCGGAGCGCAGCGCGAGTTCCCGCTGCACTCCACAGGCTTCAGGTTCCTTTCGCTAAAGCCAGGAGAGTTTTGCTCTCCCAGCTTTAGCAAAAGGAACCCGAAGCCTCCAGAGCGCAGTGGGGACTCGCGCTGCGCTCCGAAGGCTTCAGGGATAGCCAGAGGCTTCGGGTTCCTTTTGCTGAAGCCGGGAGAGCAAGACTCTCCCGGCTTCAGCAGAGAGGGAGAGCTGCGCGGCGCTCCTTCAGCCCAGTGGGAGGAGAAATGGAAGGGGCTCCATTTCTCCTGCCACTTCGCTGAAGGGGCGCTGAGCAGAGAGAGGGAGAAAAAAATTTTTATGTTCTCCCCCTCTAAAACAAGGTGCGTCCTATGGTCGGGTGCGTCCTATAGAGCAAAAAATACGGTAACTACCAGCCAGTTGCTTATCTCCTCTTCTTGGGGAGAACAGGATGCTGGACTGGACTGGCTTAATCCAGCAGGCTCTTCTGATGTTCTTATGTTCTCTGTGAGAATCAGGAGAAAGATAGTATTTGTCATCTTTAGTTCTCCTATTTAAAGTCTCTTGCCTGATTGGTTGTCAGGGGGAACCTTACTTGGGTTGATCAAAAGTCTATTTTCTTGGTTTGTGCTTTCAGAACTTTGTCCCTAAGATTCAGGATCAGAATGTGGACTCTGCAGGAACTCTAGACTATAGTTTGGAAAACATAAGCGGCAGAGGCTTTTTCACTGACTGGCAGAGAGATGTGGGGCAGTGCTCTGAGGTGAGAGTCTGAGTTCACAGTCACTTTTTTTGTCTCTTTTGGGGCAGCGAAATTACCTGGACTCAGTGGCCCTATCCCAACAGGTTTGCCAGATAGATAGATAGCAGTAGGAATAGTATTTGTGAGGGGAAAGCTCTTGGGCAGGGGTCAGCAAATTTTTTCAGAAGGGGGCTGGTCCACTGTCCCTCAGACCTTGTGGGGGTCCGGACTATATTTGGGAGGGGGGAATGAACACATTCCTATGCCCCACAAATAACTGAAAGATGCATTTTAAATAAAAACACACATTCTACTTATGTAAAAACACCAGGCAGACCCCACAAATAACCGAGAGATGCATTTTAAATAAAAGGACACATTCTACTCATGTAAAAACACCAGGCAGGCCCATAGCTGTCAACCGTCCCTTATTTGGCAGGAAACTCCCTTATCCTAGCACTGTGTCCCGCTGCTGTCCCTTATTGATGATGTCCCTTAAATTTCCCGGGTTTCATGCTTGCCCAGCTCGGGAGGCAAGCAGCGGCTTGGGGTCCTCCACCACGAGAGAGAGAGCGCGCACGAGCTGCCGCGTCTCCATCTCGGTGCATAGTGAGGAGACGGGTGGCAGCGGGCGGGCGGGCAGCCCCTCTCTTGCAAGACTTCCACTGTGCTGCCAGGGGAAGCCTGAGGGAGGAGGAAGAGGAGGGGATGGGGAGGGATGCAGAAGGGCGCCACTTCAGCAGCTGTGGCAGCGCCGCAACCGCCTCATGCCAGGCTGGCGGGTGGCGTGGGCGAGAGTCTCTCCCTCCCTCCCTCCCTCTCTTGGGTGGGGAAGGGCCGATGGAACGCCTCGCACCAGGACGACAGCAGCCCCGACGTGCTGCTTAGCATACCCTCCAACCAGTGCAGCATCTTACTGTAGTGATTTCCCTCTCTGCATCCCTTTCATCCCTTTTATAAATCATTTGTCCATCCATAGTTCAAATTTTTACTACAAGTTCTCTGCCAATCCTACCAATGTATGTAACTCTTTACAATAGCTTTTCAACTAAATTATAAACTTTCCCCATTCTTTATTAAAGGGGTCCTCTTCCTGGTTTCTAATTCTGCCTGTAACCTTTGCCATCTCAACATCGTTCATCAGTTTTGTCTGCCACTCTTCTTTGGTCAGAGTTGTAGACCCTTAGGATCATCTAGTCCAACCCCCTGCAAAACACAGTCAGTCGCAGCAAAAGCAGCATGGCTCCATCAGTGCCAGACTTCTGTATAAGCTAAGCAAAATCCCTTATTTTGGCTGCTGGTCCCTTATTTTCAAATCTGTAAGTTGACAGCTATGGGCAGGCCCCACAAATAACCCAGAGATGCATTTTAAATAAAAGGACACATTCTACTCATGTAAAAACATGCTGATTCCCAGACCGTCCACAGGGGCCGGATTGAGAAGGTGATTGGGCCAGATCCGGCCCCCGGACCTTAGTTTGCCTACCCATGCACTTGGGCATGTGGCAAATGCAGTATTTTTCTGGAGTTTCTATAGGACCTGCCTGCTCTACGCAGCTCTGCCTTAATTCTCACAGTTTCCAAAGAAGGAATTCAAACAGGGATGGAAGGCCACATTTTCTGTTTTAAAAAAGATATTCCATATCTGCGAAAAGAAAGGAGCAAAACAGGCATGTAGCTAAGTACCTGAAAAACAGAGATAGTCTGACCTGCCCATCTCTAAAACCCAGATAACTGTCATTTGAACAGAATGGTTGGGATTCTTCCCCACCCCCTCCCCAAAAGCAGTTTTCTGAAGAAGTCACAGGAGTTGAGCTGCTTCAAAGTGCTTTAAAACCTTGATTTCATCCGGACAGAAAACCTCCATTTCTGAAAGAATTGCAATCAGCGTGCGTGTGAGGAGAAGGCCCTCCTATACCTGAATGCTTGTCAAGGATTATGAAAAGTCCAAAAAGCTACTCCCCAGCCCCCAACTTTCAATAGATTCTCCCCCACCAACCTGCCCACCACCTCTGCCCAAGAAAATGTCACTCTCCTGTAATGGAGGAAGGGGATCCTGTGTGGTGGCTTTTCCCCCACCTTAGAGAGGGAACTACTCCAGGGATTAGCCGTAGGTGCAGAAAACCTATCATGGTAGCTACAAACTTCTGATTTTCTCTTTAGCCTTTAAGTGGCACCAAATAGCTGTCTTCAGATTGCTGAGTGGCTTAAGGATGCTTACCAAGCTAGACTGATTATGAGGGGGCGGGGGCGGGCGGGTGATGTGGTGATTCTTTTGACTGGCCTTGAGTTGCTTTAGCAATTGCCTTTCTCGTGAGCATATCTGATAGGCTGGGAGATTAGATGAACCTTCTGGTGAATTTTGTTGCCATTGGCAGCAGCTCAAGTGCAGTATTCCTGGCCGAGGCCCCTTCACCTACTCATATGCGTTACCAGTTTGTGGTATCAGCTCTGTGCAAATTTTGAGACAAGCTCATCTGCTGTTTGAGCTCCCTGGCTTCGCTTAGAAGCAAATAGGACAGCATTTTTTTAGGGGTCTCCTAATGAGTCCAAACCTTTAAAAAAAAAAAAAAGTTTAGATTAAAAAGTTTAGATTCAATAAAGAAAGAAAGAAAATTCATAAAGATAAAAAGCAAAGCCGAAACTTACACACATTTAACTTGTACACATTCAGCTGGTCCCTTCCAACTCTACAGTTCTTTGGTTCTGTGATTTAAATGCACGGCAATAAAAAATGAAAATTAAAAGCCAGAGGTTCCAGGATAAATAGCATCCAACCACCACTGGGTTTTTACTGTACACGATTTTGGCTTTAGGCGTGATCCGCAGAATGTAACCCCTGCGTAAGTTTCAGAGAGGCTTCACTCAAAATATTACAGCAGATTGAACATTGTCATTAAACATATTAATCCAAAACATTAACACCCCCCCCCAATATTTCCAGAAACCTGTTAGGCTGATTCTAACAGTATTCTTTTATAACAAGTTAACTCAATACAGTGGTGCCTCGCAAGACGAAATTAATTCATTCTGCGAGTTTTTTCGTCTAGCGAATTTTTCGTCTTGCGAAGCACGGTTTCCCATAGGAATGCATTGAAATTCAATTAATGCGTTCCTATGGTCAAAAAAAGTCCAATCAAAGCCAAATTTGGTACAACAATAGTTTATTAACTGCTCTTTAAAGTCACACATACTTTAAAGAGCATATCAAAATTGAAGGAACAATAAATTAAGTTTCTAAACATGACAGAAAAACATTTAAAAATCAACAAAGTGTACTGTACATACATTTTCTAAGACTCTGGGGGACCACTCGAAGAAGGTTCCTCTTCCACTCTTTGCTTCTTGCTGAGGAACCTGTCCATGGTCTGCTGCTTCATCCGCCTTTTCAGCAGCTCCCTGAGAGGCAACATGACCGTCGTATCAAAAGTGTTCGCTTGGTCATGTGCCACGTGCTTGTTAGGGTGGTGCCGCTCTGCAAAAGCCTGCACCTCCTTCCACTTCTGGCAAATGTCCCTCAGTTCTTTGGAGGACGGCCATTCCTCAGTTGCTTCCTCCTCTTCCAGCGAGGCCTGCTCCTGCGCAACCTCTGCCTGCAGTTCAACCAGCTCCTGGGTGGTCAGCTCGTGGTCGTGCTCCTCCACCAGCTCGCAGACGTCCTCCTCTGTGACCTCCAGGCCCATGGTCCTCCCCAAGGCAACAATGTCCTGCACCACTGTTGACTCTGGTGCATCAGAGTCACTTGGTGCCACACAGTCCGGCCACAGGCTGCGCCAAGCGCAATTCAAATTTCTCTGGCTGATCCCGTTCCAGGCCGTGGTGATCATCTTCAAGCAGGTGATGATGTCAAAGAGGTCCTTCCAGAATTCCCGCAGGGTGATGGTGGTGCAATCAGTCACCTCGAAGCATCGCCTGAAAAGCTCCTTGGTGTAGAGTTTTTTGAAATTGGCGATGACCTGCTGATCCATCGGCTGGAGCAGTGGCGTGGTGTTAGGCGGCAGGACCATGATGTTGATGAAGCTGAACTCCTCCAACAAGTCCACCTCAAGGCCTTTAGGATGAGCAGGAGCATTGTCCATCAGAAGCAAAGCCTTCAGAGGCAGGTCGTTGTCCAGCAGGTACTGTTTGACAGCAGGGCCAAAAGCAAGATTGACCCAGTCCACAAACAGCACACATGTGACCCAAGCCTTGCTGTTGGATCGCCACATGACACTCAGCCGCTCCTTGTCGACCTTGTGTTTCTTGAAGGGTTCCCGTGGGTTCTCCGAGTGGTACACCAGCAGGGGCTTGATCTTCAGGTCGCCGCTTGCGTTGGCACAGAAGAGCAGGGTCAGACGGTCCTTCATGGGCTTGTGGCCAGGCAACTTGGCCTCCTCCTGTGTGAGGAAAGTCCTTTTGGGCATCCTCTTCCAAAACAGCCCGGTCTCGTCGCAGTTGAAGACCTGCTGTGGAACGTAGCCCTCTGTCTTCACAGCCTCCAGGAACTCCAAGGCAAAGTCTTCAGCCGCAGGAACATCAGAACTGGCAGCCTCTCCATGCCTGACCACGCTGTGGATTTCAGATCTTGCCTTGAACCAGTCAAACCAGCCTCTGCTTGCCTTGAAGACTTCTGGCTCGCCTGAGGTTCCTGGCTGTTCCCGGATGAGGTCTGCGTGCAAGGCCTTGGGCTTCTCACAAATGACGGCCTCAGTCACTGTGTCCCCTGCACGCTGCTTCTCTTCTAACCAGATGAGCAGCAACTTCTCAACCTCCTCCAGAACAGCTGGGCGGTTCTTCACGATCCTGGTGACTCCCTTGGCTGCATCAGTCGCAAGGATCTTCTCCCTCATCTTCAGGATGGTCCCGATGGTCAATGGGTTCCTGCCGTACTCCCTGGCGAGGTCCGTCACACGCATTCCACCGTCGTGCTTCCAGATGATCTCCTTCTTCATTTCCAGCGTCACCTTCTCCTTCTTCCTCTCGCCAGCCTCCGCAGCAGCAGCAGTCTTCTTGGGTCCCATGGCAGCACAGCTCTTACCTTCGTAAACTCAGAAAAAGAAAAAAAAAAATCAGCAATTCAAACCCAGAACCAAGTCCTTGAATTCCAAACACCCAACTCAAAATCCAAAACCCCCCAAAAAAGTTTTAAAAGTTTAACTTACGAAATGGCTGCAAATCACCAAAGTCTTCAAAATCCTCAAATGGCTGCAAAAGAAGTTTTGGGAAAGCTTTAAAAATCACCAAAGTCTTCAAAAACCTCGACTGTTCCCCCAGCCCCTCCCCAACTGTTGCAAACCCCTCCCCAACTGTTGCAAACCCCTCCTCAACTGTTCCCCCATCCACCCAGCACACAGAAATTCAAACCCAGAATTTTTTTCAAAAAAAACCAACATGGCCCAATGGTCACAGAAAACCATAAAAATTAAAAAAAAAACCACACAAGCTTCCAGATTCTTGCAAACCCTCCCCAGCTGTTCCCCCAGCCACCCAGCACACAGAAATTCAGAACCCAGAAAATTTTTTCAAAAAAAACAACAACATGGCCCAATGGTCACAGAAAACCATAAAAATTCAAAAACAAAAAACAAAACACAAGGTCCCAGATTCTTGCAAACCCCTCCCCAGCTGTTCCCCCAGCCACCCAGCACACAGAAATTCAAAACCCATAAATTTTTTTCAAAAAAACAACAACATGGCCCAATGGTCACAGAAAATCATAAAAATGCAGAAAAAACCACACAAGCTCCCAGATTCTTGCAAACCCCTCCTCAACTGTTCCCCCATCCACCCAGCACACAGAAATTCAAACCCAGATTTTTTTTCCAAAAAAAAATAAACATGGTCCAATGGTCACAGAAAATCATAAAAATGCAGAAAAAAACCACACAAGCTCCCAGATTCTTGCAAACCTCTCCCCAACACCAAGTCCTTGAATTCTAAACACCCCAAAAAGTTTTAAAAGTTTAACTTACCAAACAGCTGCAAAAGAAGTTTTGGAAAAGCTTCAAAAATTCAGCAAACTCTTTAAAAAGCTCAGAAAGGCCACCACACCGCGTGCAATGTGTTGCTCCTCGAAGTCAAGTCGCAACTGCACCTCTTCCAGCAATGCACCCTGGGTATTAACGGTTTTACGAAAAAGGAAACAAACTTGCAAGACGTTTTCGTCTTGCAAAGCAAGCCCATAGGGAAATTCGTCTTGCGAAGCAACTCGAAAACGAAAAAACCTTTCGTCTTGCGAGTTTTTCGTCTTGCGAGGCGTTCGTCTTGCGGGGCACCACTGTAATTGCTAATATATTCCAGATTTTTTCAATCCATCCACATATTGTAGGAGATGTACTGCCCGCCCCCCTATTATTATTATTATTATTATTATTAGTTTTCATAATCTTAGTAGAAGTTATAAGACATAATACTGATTATTGATCATTTTCCAGGATAGCATGCTTTAGATAGGTCAAACAGAACTATTTTAGATTCCAAGGGTATAAGGATATCCTAACATGTCAGAAATATTATCCCAAACAGATTTTTTAAATATCCAGACCACCACGTTGGTTCTTCATTTGAAGCGTCTGTACCTCTTTCTACAAATCAGATTGGGTGGGGATGTTAAATTCTTTCATCCTGCACATGGGATGGACATTCTGTCACGGACCATTACAGAACAGGGAGGCTGGGTCTACTCCTAGGTCAGGGAAAAGGAGCTCAGTGGATGAAGAATGATCCCTGATAACTTCAAGGCATTTCCCCCCACCACAGTTCACCCTAAAGTACATCCACTTTATGTCCTGTTTTCCTGAACTCTGTCTAACTTCCCTTCAATATTAGTTAGGGGTCCAGTACAGTGGTACCTCGGGTTACAGACACTTCAGGTTACATACGCTTCAGGTTACAGACTCCGCTAACCCAGAAATAGTACCTTGGGTTAAGAACTTTGCTTCAGGATGAGAACAGAAATCGTGCTCCAGCGGCATGGCAGCAGCAGGAAGCCCCATTAGCTAAAGTGGTGCTTCAGGTTAGAACAATTTCAGGTTAAGAACAGACCTCTGGAACGAATTAAGTACTTAACCCAAGGTATCACTGTACTTTAAAGCCTCCTGTGTTATACTGCCTTTGACTCCTTGAGAAGTTTTCCTCCTTTCTCTCTCCCCCTGCCTAGCCTCCCCCCCCCTCCATTTCTGGGCCTGTCAGAGGTAAAGCTCTTCTGTGTGTTTAGATAGACAGTGGGGAATATCTCTTCCCCAATATTTTCTGCCTTCTTAGAAGAAAACGTGTTCACTTTTTATTTCTTAATAAGCTCCTTTTCGAAGACATTTTGGGTTTTGCTATTTGTAGTACAGTGGTACCTTGGGTTACATACGCTTCAGGTTACAGTCTCTGCTAACCCAGAAATGTTACCTTGGGTTAAGAACTTTGCTTCAGGATGAGAACAGAAATTGTGCTCCGGCGGCGCGGCAGCAGCGGGAGGCCCCATTAGCTAAAGTGGTGCTTCAGGTTAAGAACAGTTTCAGGTTAAGAACGGACCTCCGGAACGAATTAAGCTCTTAACCCAAGGTACCACTGTAATGCCGCAGTGGCGTCTACCAGCAACATCAACCCTGTAAGTGTTGCTCACAAGTGTGGTGTGTAGTCTGACCTCCTGAAAGAATCCCCTGTCTAGGTTTCCAAAGGGAGAATGGCTGGTTGACGATGGGGAGCCTCTCTTGCAAAATGCAGTGCAGCAGGGACACTTTGGTTGGTCTTGTTTTGGGAACGTGGGCACTTCTGGGTGGCAGGAGGATTGCAAGCCTAGACTCCTGGCTTTCATGCAAATATAAGATAAAATGGTTTCTGGGTGAGAGATTGAATTGGAGCAATGTATATGATTATTAGCTCCCGTTGCTCCTGCACCTGCTCCTGCCAACCTAGCAGTTCGAAAGCACGCCAGTGCAAGTAGATAAATAGGTACTGCTCTGGCAGGAAGGTAAACGGTGTTTCTGTGTGCTGCTCTGGTTCGCCAGAAGCGGCATAGTCATGCTGGCCACATGACCCGGAAGCTGTACGCCAGCTCCCTCAGCCAATAAAGCGAGATGAGCACCGCAACCCCAGAGTCGGCCTCGACTGGACTTAATGGTCAGGGGTCCCTTTACCTTTACCTTATTTGATTATTTCCTCTATATCCCACTTTTCCCTGCAAGGCTCTCTCATTTTATCCCCACAACAACCTAGGCTGGCATGCAGTGACTGGTCACACCCAATGAATTTTATGGCTGAACGGGGATTTGAACCCGGTCACCCAAGGGCCTGGTCCAGCCCTTGAACCACTACATCACACTGCCTCTCAGTGAATGAGTCATATCAAGAATTACACTGGAGGTGCAAAAAGAAGAACAGGACACATTACTATATGCAGTGAACCTATAATTCTGCACAAAAATACTGGAATATGATTATTAGAATAATAACAAAAAAAATTGAAATCTAAAGTTCCCTTAGATCCAGTCTGATTGCTGCTTGGCAGCCAAGGCTGGCTCTCAGTGCTTTTTTTAATTATTTATTTAAAATGTGTATATACTGCAGCTAAGCAGAGCAGAATTAGCAGGGTAACAGGACCCCCCCTAAAAAAAGTTACTTTAGATGCCTTAATGTTTTAGCTGACACACATAGAACATATCAAATACGTACTGGGATTTACTGGTACACATCTGGGGGCAGCCACAGCAGTGCCCCAGGTGAAGTTCTAGAGCCTAAGCAGAGTGTCAGTCGCAAAACATGAGGAAATGACATGCATGAATTTGGCCTCTAGGACTAAACAGATGAAATACTGTATTTTTCACTCTATAGGACGCACCCAACCATAGGACGCACCTTGTTTTAGAGGGGGAGAACAAGAAAAAAATAATCTACCCCTCTTTGCACAGCGCCCCTTCAGCGAAGCGGCAGGAGAAACGGAGCCCCTTCCATTTCTCCTCCTGCTTTGCTGAAGGGGCGCTGCGCAGCTCTCCCTCTCTGCTGAAGCCAGGAGAACCCTCTCTGCTCTCCCGGCTTCAGCAAAAGGAACCCGAAGCCTTCGGAGCACAGCACGAGTTCCCGCTGCGCTCCAAAGGCTTCAGGCGGCTATCCCTGAAGCCTGGAGAGTGAGAGGGGTCGGTGCTCACCGACCCCTCTTGCTTTCCAGGCTTCAGCGAAAGCAACGCGTAGCCTCCGGAGCGCGGAGGGAGCGCTCCCTCTGCGCTTCGGAGGCTTTGCGTTGCTATCACTGAAGCCAAGGAGCCTGCATTCCCTCCATAGGAAGCACACACATTTCCCCTTAATTTTTGGAGGGGGGAAAGTGTGTCCTATAGAGGGAAAAATACGGCATGTTAGAGTAAAGAAGTGTAGACCTTTTTCGGTAGATTAGTAAACAACATTCAGAGATTTATTGATTCCTGATCAAATGAACTATGCACAAGCTGTGTGTTTTAATATAAATACTTTGCAAACCAGACAAAGCTAAGCAACTGTCACCTCACATTCAGATTGGTTTTTAAGCATCTGCCCTGGCTGCTCATCTACTACTGAGCCAGATTTATGGTTCTTGAGTTAATTTACAAGGCCCTGAGCTGCTTAGGTACTGGGTACAGTGGTGCCTCGCAAGACGAAATTAATTCGTTCCGCGAGTTTTTACGTCTAGCGAATTTTTCGTCTTGCGAAGCACGGTTTCCCATAGGAATGCATTGAAATTCAATTAATGCGTTCCTATGGTCAAAAAAAGTCCAATCAAAGCCAAATTTGGTACAACAATAGTTTATTAACTGCTCTTTAAAGTCACACATACTTTAAAGAGCATATCAAAAATTGAAGGAACAATAAATTAAGTTTCTAAACATGACAGGAAAAACATTTAAAAATCAAAAAGGGTACATTACATTTTCTAAGACTCTGGGGACCACTCGAAGAAGGTTCCTCTTCCACTCTTTGCTTCTTGCTGAGGAACCTGTCCATGGTCTGCTGCTTCATCCGCCTTTTCAGCAGCTCCCTGAGAGGCAACATGACCGTCGTATCAAAAGTGTTCGCTTGGTCATGTGCCACGTGCTTGTTAGGGTGGTGCCGCTCTGCAAAAGCCTGCACCTCCTTCCACTTCTGGCAAATGTCCCTCAGTTCTTTGGAGGACAGCCGTTCCTCAGTTGCTTCCTCCTCTTCCAGCGAGGCCTGCTCCTGCGCAACCTCTGCCTGCAGTTCAACCAGCTCCTGGGTGGTCAGCTCGTGGTCGTGCTCCTCCACCAGCTCGCAGACGTCCTCCTCTGTGACCTCCAGGCCCATGGTCCTCCCCAAGGCAACAATGTCCTGCACCACTGTTGACTCTGGTGCATCAGAGTCACTTGGTGCCACACAGTCCGGCCACAGGCTGCGCCAAGCGCAATTCAAATTTCTCTGGCTGATCCCGTTCCAGGCCGTGGTGATCATCTTCAAGCAGGTGACGATGTCGAAGTGGTCCTTCCAGAATTCCCGCAGGGTGATGGTGGTGCAATCAGTCACCTCGAAGCATCGCCTGAAAAGCTCCTTGGTGTAGAGTTTTTGAAATTGGCGATGACCTGCTGATCCATCGGCTGGAGCAGTGGCGTGGTGTTAGGCGGCAGGAACATGATGTTGATGAAGCTGAACTCCTCCAACAAGTCCACCTCAAGGCCTTTAGGATGAGCAGGAGCATTGTCCATCAGAAGCAAAGCCTTCAGCGGCAGGTCGTTGTCCAGCAGGTACTGTTTGACAGCAGGGCCAAAAGCAAGATTGACCCAGTCCACAAACAGCACACGTGTGACCCAAGCCTTGCTGTTGGATCGCCACATGACACTCAGCCGCTCCTTGTCGACCTTGTGTTTCTTGAAGGCCCGTGGGTTCTCCGAGTGGTACACCAGCAGGGGCTTGATCTTCAGGTCGCCGCTTGCGTTGGCACAGAAGAGCAGGGTCAGACGGTCCTTCATGGGCTTGTGGCCAGGCAACTTGGCCTCCTCCTGTGTGAGGAAAGACCATTGGGCATCCTCTTCCAAAACAGCCCGGTCTCGTTGCAGTTGAAGACCTGCTGTGGAACGTAGCCCTCTGTCTTCACAGCCTCCAGGAACTCCAAGGCAAAGTCTTCAGCCGCAGGAACATCAGAACTGGCAGCCTCTCCATGCCTGACCACGCTGTGGATTCCAGATCTTGCCTTGAACCGGTCAAACCAGCCTCTGCTTGCCTTGAAGACTTCTGGCTCGCCTGAGGTTCCTGGCTGTTCCCGGATGAGGTCTGCGTGCAAGGCCTTGGCCTTCTCACAAATGACGGCCTCAGTCACTGTGTCCCCTGCATGCTGCTTCTCTTCTAACCAGATGAGCAGCAACTTCTCGACCTCCTCCAGAACAGCTGGGCGGTTCTTCACGATCCTGGTGACTCCCTTGGCTGCATCAGTCGCAAGGATCTTCTCCCTCATCTTCAGGATGGTCCCGATGGTCGATGGGTTCCTGCCGTACTCCCTGGCGAGGTCCGTCACACGCATTCCACCGTCGTGCTTCCAGATGATCTCCTTCTTCATTTCCAGCGTCACCTTCTCCTTCTTCCTCTCGCCGGCCTCCGCAGCAGCAGCAGTCTTCTTGGGTCCCATGGCAGCACAGCTCTTACCTTCGTAAACTCAGAAAAAGAAAAAAAAATCAGCAATTCAAACCCAGAACCAAGTCCTTGAATTCCAAACACCCAACCCAAAATCCAAAAACCCCCCAAAAAGTTTTAAAAGTTTAACTTACGAAATGGCTGCAAATCACCAAAGTCTTCAAAATCCTGAAATGGCTGCAAAAGAAGTTTTGTGAAAGCTTTAAAAATCACCAAAGTCTTCAAAAACCTCAACTGTTCCCCCAGCCCCTCCCCAACTGTTGCAAACCCCTCCCCAACTGTTGCAAACCCCTCCTCAACTGTTCCCCCATCCACCCAGCACACAGAAATTCAAAACCCAGAAATTTTTTTCAAAATACAACAACATGGCCCAATGGTCACAGAAAACCATAAAAATTCAAAAAAACCCACACAAGCTCCCAAATTCTTGCAAACCCCTCCCCAGCTGTTCCCCCAGCCACCCAGCACACAGAAATTCAAAACCCAGAAAATTTTTTCAAAAAAAAACAACATGGCCTAATGGTCACAGAAAATCATAAAAATGCAGAAAAAACCACACAAGCTCCCAGATTCTTGCAAACCCCTCCCCAGCTGTTCCCCCAGCCACCCAGCACACAGAAATTCAAACCCATATTTTTTTTTCAAAAAAAAATAAACATGGCCCAATGGTCACAGAAAATCATAAAAATGCAGAAAAAAACCACACAAGCTCCCAGATTCTTGCAAACCTCTCCCCAACACCAAGTCCTTGAATTCTAAACACCCCAACCCAAAATCCAAAAACCCCCCAAAAAGTTTTAAAAGTTTAACTTACCAAACAGCTGCAAAAGAAGTTTTGGAAAAGCTTCAAAAATTCAGCAAACTCTTTAAAAAGCTCAAAAAGGCCACCACACCGCGTGCAATGTGTTGCTCCTCGAAGTCAAGTCGCAACTGCACCTCTTCCAGCAATGCACCCTGGGTTTTAACGGTTTTACGAAAAAGGAAACAAACTTGCAAGACGTTTTCGTCTTGCAAAGCAAGCCCATACGTCTTGCGAAGCAACTCGAAAATGAAAAAACCTTTCGTCTTGCGAGTTTTTCGTCTTGCGAGGCGTTCGTCTTGCGGGGCACCACTGTACTTCAGGGACTGCCTAAACCCTAATATCCCAGCTCATTCACTGAGATCACCCGCAGGAGCGTTGTTGTTCATTCCCCAAGTTGGTGAGGCTTCTTTGACAACAATGAAAAACCAAGCCTTTCATGTCATTGGCCGAGTGCTGTGGAACACCCTGCCAATAGAGATTCAGCAGGCTTCTGTGCCAACTTAAGTCCCTGCTCAAGATGTTTCTATTCTTATTATATAGGCAGTTAAGAATACAACTTTCCATAATAGTTTGTTGATTCCTGATTTTAAATTTTTGCATAATCTTTATTGTATGGGCTTTATATACAATTCTTGTAAACCACTCTGATTTCTTTTTAATGAGTAACGGAATATAAGTAAGTGCTCGTCCTTAATAGTTTCCTTGTATGTTTGCTTTCACCTAGATGACAGGGGAAACTGTTGCGACTGGGATGAACGAGCAGGAGGCACCAATGAATGGTGAGCTATTGGAAATAGATGAACTGCTTTGGTAGAAAGCTTATTTATTCTCAGATGTCGATCAACATGGTGGTGGTGGCAGTGCAGGGAGATGATCCCCCCCCCCCACATACACCTGGTGTAGGAAGGGTTATGGACTGGTTATGGAGTGGTCAGGCATGGGGCTTGCCCACAGTTTGCTTGTGCCATGCCCACCAAGCACATGTCTGAGAGACTTTCCGCTTGTCCTGAGCTTTCGAGGCATGAGTCAGAGAGGTTTTCCGTTCGCCCCACCACTTTCCCTGGGGAAACCCTTAGCCCTGAACCTGAGCAGACATCAGTCCACAGGAAACCTGATTGACATTTGCTCCGATCCAGTGGTAAAGAGCGGGTTTTCCCAGGGGAAAGTGGTGGGGAGAATGAGCTCATAGATGTGTAGTCTGGGGAGAAGCCAAACTAGACAGTTTTGATGTGGACTCATTATTTTATTTTATATAAATAGGGAGAGTCACATAAGTACTCCTCCCAGTAGTTACTCTTTGTAATAGCTGGGCTATATAGACTCATCTTAAAATCTTGGCTATGAGCAACTGCATCTCTTTATTTATTTTTATGCTGGGTATGCTCCATGTTTGCTTGGTCATGTGCTAACGATAAATAAATAAATAATTGAAAAGAAAAGAAAAGAAAAGGATTACGGTTCAGGCAGCATGGAATTCTTTTTTGCAAACCGCTTTGAGGTTAATTTGTTCTTTTTTTACAAAAGCAGCATATAAATTTTATGAAATAATAAAAATAATAAAAGGAATAAAGTCCACTCTGGTGGCCTTACATCTGTGATCCATTCGGACATGCAGGCTATCCCTTGATGTTGCTTGTTCAGCCCTTGATTATACATGTGGAGTCTCACTTAGCTGTAATGTTGGTGGGTGTGTTTTCCCTCTCCGCAGACTTGCTTCTGACTCAGAACCACGTGAATCCCATGTTGGGGGAGCCTCCAACTTTCAAGATGGAATATGACAGCAGTATTCCCCTGGAGGCTTCTGTTGACATCATACCTCCTGTTCATTTCAGCGATGAGGCACTTGAGGAGTGCCTTGGTCAAGTAGATGGCGCACCTACCCTGTTGCTTCTGGATCAGCCGGTTTTCTTTGAAAATGTGTAAAACAACTAAAGAGGCCCTCCCCTTCTGCTCCCCAGCCTGGTTGCAGATTTCATAGAGAAAGCTACCTAGATGTAGCTTTCAGCACCAAAGGCTGGTGGAGCTCTTGCTTCTCCTTTCTGCGGTTTTCTGTAAGGGGAGGGTTTATTCTGCTTTTTCTGAATACCAAAGCCTGTGCAGCTAGAAAGCTGGAATTGTGCCACAATGGTTTGTTTGTTTTTTCAAAAAACAAATAATCCAAAAGAACTTTATTTTATATACAAGTATTTTTTCTAGTCTTAGCAACTTGTAGCTCACTGTAAACCTTTGCCTATCAAATTGTCTAGTCTCGTGATACCCAGTATTGCAAAACTGCAATAATTTAACTCTTTGACTCAGAGGTGGTTTGTACTCCCGTTAGGATTTATTAACTTTTGTGAAAATCAGAACTGAAGAGGCTGTTTCTGACTACTGTTGTCAGAATACTGTTGTATTCTTTGGTTATGTATTTTTTCATTTTGGTTATGCATTCTTTGGTTTCACCTCTGATTTTTTTATTATTATTTATCATCATCATTATCATCATCATTATTAAATTTATTAGTCACTTTTTCTTTGCCACAGCAACCCAGAACAACTAATGAAATCACAAAACAACAACAACCTGAAATACACAAACTAAAATTGGGGGCAGGCAGGTGGGAAATACATTAAAACATCCCACTCACTTTAAACGATCACAGATAGAGGCCTGGTTGGAAAGCAAAAATTTTGCCCAACACTGAAGATATATAACAATGGCACCAGGTCTGCCTCCCAGGGAGGAGCATCCCACAAGAAAGAGTCACATTGAGAAGGCCCTATTCTCATGTTGCCAACCTCAGGAGCTCCCATGGGTGGAGCACAAGAAGGAGGGCCTCAGATGACAATTGCAGGGACTGTGTTGGTTCATATGGGAAGGGCTGGTCCTTGGGGTACTGGGGTTCTGAGAAGCGTAACACTGTAAATATCAAAACCAGCACTTTAAACGGGGCCCAGAAACCTATTGGTAGCCAGTGCAGTTGGGCTAGGATTGGTGTTATATGCGCAGTGCATCTTGCCACAATGAGAAAATATCAATGTAAGCAATTTGTTTCCTTTGGGAAATTATATTTCTAATTCCTGTGTTTGAAATGATGCCAGTATGTAGCTACAATACTGAGTATAAAGACAACGCTTTAAAAAAAGCTGCTTTTTTCTGTGCACTGTCTGCCAACTCCTCCCAAGTCGCTTCTCAATAAATTTGTAGCAATAAGCAAAATAAATATCATTAAGATTGTGTTTGTTTATGTGATTAAGTTTTCTCTTTTTAACTCCTGGGCCAAAAGTTTGAATGATTCCTGTGACCTGTCCCACCTGCACATCTCGGGCAAATGACCTTTATTATAAAGAGTGTGACCTGATGCTTGTTTTCTCCCAGAGCTCTTCACAAGGCTTCACAGTTTGAGACTTGGGGGGGGGGGGGAGGAGGGTGGCTGGGAGAGTCTTCCCTGCACTCAAAAACAGTGATAGGAAACAATCTAACATATTGCTTTGTTTTAAAGTGATTGTGCTTTAGTTACACAATCACTTCCATAAAGTCCGCTGTTTGCCTTGTGAGGTTGCTTAATGGTTCGCTTTCCCAAAAGCAAAGCCCCTCTGTAGTCCCTAGGCAGTGTTAAATGTCCTCCTCCTTTCTGCCATTTCTGGATTTGGCCCTTGCACCATCCAGAGCAGGAACATAGGAGAGCAAATGCAAAGGGGATGGTGGTTTAGGTTTGCTGATGAGCTGCATAGCAATGATGAGGCCTAGCAAACTTCCTATTGAAATGGAATACTTTTATTTACAAGTACTGTAATTGTATAACAGGCTGGGAAAGCCTTTTGGGAATTTCATATGGCTCTTCTTGTGTCAATCTGGGCATGAAGAACAGAGGTTCTCCAAATTAGTGGGTCTATTTTATCCTAAGCTTTGTTTTCAATAAATTAAGGACCTGTGATTTTCATATATATTAGAAAGTTTATACTGGCAAATCAAAACTCAAGTACATTCGCTCCTGCTAATTAGTGCTCATCATAGATTTTTGCATTCCTTCCAGTCTTTTTTAATTCTTTTGGTTCAACTGATGGATGCAGATTTAAATTCTTGGGTTTCAGAACTGACGTTTAAAATGCCATTGACACAAGTACTTAAACACAGTACATAGAAACCACTTGCAAGACCAGGCATTGGGGTCCCCATACCCCAACCCATATAAATAAGAGACCAGTAAGACTGGTTTTGGGTTAAAAACAGGCCACACCTTTATTGAATACAGATGAAAGAGGTTTGGCTTGGGCATGGGGCAATCTAAATACTTCCGGCCCGCCCACTGGAAGTGACGCCTGGTCAATCCAGGTGGGGGTTTCTAAAACTTACATCAAATAGGATGACCTCTGCAGGGACCACCATCTAGGGGAGTCCCTTTGACCCTGACCTCCCTGGGCATGTGGCTGTGGCCACTCCCCCCAATCCCTTTAACGGGATACCCTAGCATTTTGGAGGGGCAGGCAGAGACTACAACCTTGCCTCCATCCAAGACAAAGTATTGCCCCAATGCCCAGGCAGTTGTGACGATTGCGACGAGGTGGGGAAAACCACTGGGTAAGAGCCAATTAGCCCGGTGGGCAAATGCCTACCCGACTCCGTGAAGAACAGCGACCACAGCAAAGTCATTGACTATCATCGTAAACCAAGGGTGGGTGGGCAGGGAAACCCAGCGAAGGAATGAACAGGTAGTGCCCCGGGTGCAGGCTGCTTAAATGGGCAAGGGGTGGATCCAAGGGAAGCCTACCTGCTCCATCAGTTCTGCCCCCTGGTACAGCCCATGTCCCCAGCCTGCATCCCCATTAGCCAAAGCCAGGAGCAGGCTAGGATCCTCTTCCTGATAGGCAGCTGGGGCTTATGCCTCCACGGCCCATCAGGAAGGGCACTCAAGTTCAAGTTCCCTCATTGGGGCCCCAGTGAAGCCTTTGCCATCCTGCAATGCTGCCACACCAAGAGGACTTTGCAGCATTTCTTTCTTTTAGCATATGCTAAAATGTGGAACTGCTTAACATGAGAAACTTGCACAAGTCATTAAATTTCAGGATTGTCACACCAGCAAATCCTTTGCATTTCTCTCTTAAACCAAGAGAAGTGAGACAAAAGGGCAGGGTCAGCTGCAAGGGCTCTAGCTGAAGCGACTCCAGTCATAAGGGTGTTGCACTGTTGGAACATACGAAATGTTCCAGGGGAGGCATGAAGGAGAGAAAGTCTCTCCATGGGCAACAGCACCAGGGGCTCTTCCAACCTTACAGTGCTGTTGTCCTGTTGTAGTCTCAACCACAAAAGAGCTATTGTAAAATTGGAAAGGTTCAAGAAAGGGCAAACAAAAGCATCAGGGGGATGGAGCGACCCCCCCCCCCATGTGAGGAAAGGTTGCAACATTTGGGACTTTTTGGTTTAGAGAAAAGATGAATAAGAGGTGACAAGGTAGAAGTTTGTAAAATTATGCTCCTTCTAGAGAAAGGGGGTAGAGAAGTGTTTCTCTCTGACATAACACTAGAACTCGTGGGCATCCCAGGAAGCTAAGCAGTGGAAGATTCAGGACAGGCAGAAGAAAGGACTTTTTCATGCAGCACATCGTTAAACTCTGGAACTCCATCCCACAGGAGGCAGTGATGGACACCAACTTGGGTGGCTTTAAAAGAGGATTAGACAAATTCATTGAGAGGACTACAAAGGGCTATTTGCCATATGCCAATCTTCTGCCTTCACAGTTTGAGAATGTTTCTGGATAGCAGTGAATTTGTCTACCCCATATTTTAAAATTAATCCATGGGTGGGCGGCATGGACGCAAGATCTCTCTCCCCTAATGCAGTTCCCAACAAACTGGTATTCAGAAGCATTATTGCCTTTGACTTGAGCCAGAGCATAAGAATCATGCCTAGCAGTCTTTCATAGTCTTATGATCCTTCATGAATTTGTCCAGTACTCTTTTAAAGCCATCTAGGTTAATGGCCATCACTGCCTCCTGTGGGAGTGAGTTCCATAGTTTAACAAGGCACTGTGTGAAGGACTTTTCTTTCATCTGTCATGAATCTTCCAGCGTTCAGCTTCATTAGATGGCAAAGGCTGCGGGGTATTTAATCTGGCTCTACTTGCACCAATAGGCTGGCTGCACAATGCAAAACCCTGAACAAAATCAGGGTTCTAAATTGCCCACATGATTACAGGAGGCTCCCTGCTGCACAAGGCTGCCCACCAATTCCTGGAGGGGGGCAATTTGGAATAAGGGTGGGGTAGGGTGCTTGCCTCCACAACCTTCAACATTTGTCCATTTAGTTTAAAATAAGGAGCTGAGTCAGAATACCTCCGCACAGAAGTCCTGCAATTCTACAAGTCCAGTTCCTGAAAATATGTGCTGTGTACATGTCAGAAATTATGTCTGATGCATCCACAGCATGTACTGTATTCCCTCACCACAGTGATGTGTCAAGACAGAAATTATACAGGTGCAGCTCTCCCCCCCCAACTGTTGCTGTGTACATACCCAACAATTTATGCCTGATGCATCCACAAAATACACAATGTTCCTTCACCATGGCAACATGTGAATGTCAAGACGAACATTTTACAGACGCAGCTTCTGCAAACGCAGCTAAGAATTTCTACCTGATGTGCGCCCTTAAAATTTCTGCAAGCACAAAAGACTGTTGAGTTACCAGAACAACATGTAGTGAATGTCCAGGCAGAAATAGTACAGATACACTTCTCCCACCAGTTGCTACAAATGCAGATGAGGAATTCCTGCTCCAACACACAGTATACTCTTCACATAACAAACTAAGCCGAATTGTCAACTGAAAGAAGACACGGTGTAAGTGAAATCTGGCCAAATTAATACACTGCCTCAGATCCTATACCAAATTTCATACTGACACAGTCAATTGTTTTAATTTTATAAATAATAGAATTTAGAAT